AGCTGAGATTCGGACTCCGTAGTTGGAAACCTAGCTCTGTAGTGTTCAGAGAGACTTTGGCGTCGTGACAGTAAACTTCCTTTTCGGTAAACGGTTGGAAAAACTGAGAGGGTTGTGTAACTGTGGAACTGTGAGGAAACTAGTTTGCAAGACCACGGGCAGACCACACAGGCAAGGCAACAAGCATTGCAACTGAAACTGCGCAGCCGCTTCGAAGGGATTTGGTTGTTGTTGTTTCTGTGGTTAAAGAAAAGAGTTGGTGACACACTCTGATGCAAAGCATCATTGGCAGCAGGCAAATCTAGTGCTCCAAAGGGGGGTGAAAGAATATCCCTTCACTATACCTCTGATCCTAAGTGTCGGGGTTGGAACACTGATTTGTGTTTGGTTGTACAGTGAAGAGCCCAATACGCACAGCCCCTGTGGTTCAAACTAAAAAGGTGTGACTCCGCTTCGCATTATCAGCTCCACAGGCGTAGGCTTTGCAACCGTGCGGCAACCACTGCAGTGATACTTCGATCCAGTTGCAGTCACAACCACCGGTGTGCCAGTCTCAGGCTGACAAATCTGACGGACATCGAAACTCCTGGTAGTCCGTCCCTGGCATGATACATCTGCCGAATTATAGCCCAGTAGATAACATCTCCAGCCTTCTCATCGACAGTCTGTTCGGGAAAATTCGAATTTCTTGCAGTTGTATTGCGGCCTTTGCAGCTTGACGCACAAAAAGTCAAGCAAATACCAGATAGAATAGAATACCCCGTATATAGGCGACCAATAAGAGCCAGTAGTGCTCTTCCATCTCTCAGGCAGCCATGGCTTGCATGACCTGCCCACACACACACAAATGGCTGCGGAAATCCAATCAAGCTCACGCTGAAATCCATTCCAAGCAGTCCACAAACATTCCAAAGACAGTCCATCAAGGAAAGTCCAAAAATCCAAACGTCCAAGGATCATCCTCTCGATGTCTTATGGAGACTTTTGCACTCTGAAAGTCCACAGAGAACATCCTCTCGATGTCTTCTGAAAAGCTTTGCGCTCTTGCACTTGAAACTGTGAAACTTGAATTAAAGACCTGATACCTCCTGTCTTTAACATGTGAAGCTGTCTCAAGTCAAAACGCAGCAGACTCCCTTTTTCACAGGGGAAGATCAGGCGATAAAATCAGCATAGCTTCGACGCTTCAATCACCTGAGTGAAAGTAATGCGAGCATTCGCACAAAAAACCTGGCAAACTTCCTGGAGTATTTCTCTGACAACTGAAAGTCAGAAAAAGTGAATGATGCATGAAAGTCACAAGCACAATGAAAACGCTTCTCAAGACGTTGACTAAGTTCCTCTGTGCTCGACATAATCCTGAAAGCTTTCTTGATGGTCCTAGAAGCCCTTCGATTCCCATTGCACAAGCATGAACGACAGACCTGAATGGAGCTCTGGCCTGAACAAATGCTTGCAATCTCGGATGCGTCCAATACTTGCTGGAATTTGGAAACTCAAACGATATGGATATATCATGCTTCTCAAGCTTGTTCAACAACTTCTCACATGCAGACAAAAGCTCAAAAAACTTCTTCTCATGTTCTGGAATGCGCTTTCCACCTGAAAAAATCGGCAGAGGAGATCTACCTGTGCATGGAAGTGACATGTGAGCCTGACAGACTAGATGCACCTCTCCGAGCTCTCGATCAGAGACTGATCTGGTCATCGTCAGGTCCTTCATCACCTGGTTCACAAGATCTGCAACTTGATTCTCTGTAGCTACCTTCTCAAGGTTTCCATGAACACCAATGTAACAAGCACGGCTCTCTACACATGCAGCTGACAAGACGCTGGCTTTGTTGCAGGCTTGTTCGATGAAAAGACTTACCCCCCTTTCACTCATGAAATACGTCATTCTCCCCTCAGGAAGCTTTGGCTCTGCCTCCGATCCTCCAGCACGGCGGTGAGGGTCGGCTGCCCATAGCTCCCTCTGTCGGGGCCGCTGAGATCATCGATATGGAATACCGTCGAAGCAACCTGGGTCTCTGCTTCCAGAACACCTCCTCGCAATCTTCCTGGCTGCACAGGCGCAGCCACTGGGGCTGCTTTCGGAAACCCGCTACATTTCCTGGTGTCTTCGCCAAAGAACTTGGTCTGGCTTTTGCCTTGGCCTTCTCAGGAGTCTTCGGAGCTGCCGATCTCATCGGCAGTGGTGGTCCTACATCACAGCCGGCTGGTGGTGTCAAAGGTGGCGGTATAAAATGGCGTTGGCATCTGATCCTCTTGGAGGTGCGGTGGCGTTCGGTGGAGGATCATGAAAAATGAGACATGATGAAATAGGGCAAAGACTTCTCTGTACAAAAGCTTCTTGACAAAAGCTTCTGTATGTGGGTAAAAACTTCTCTGTTAAAGGTTTTTGGTCTAAAAGCTTCTGTGTGCAAAAACTTCCGTGTAAAACGTCCTCTGTGTGTAAAAGTTTCTGTTTGTGAAAGTTTCTTTGCGTACCAGCTTCAATGTTGCTTCTCGATTTACTGGACATTGTCGCCTATCTCGAAGGCACCTGGCGCCGCCCTGGGCCGAGAACCTCTTTGGTCCCCATGTGACCGGCCGTATAACCACCACCATCACGGCTTCCACGCCCAGATTCCCAGCAATTACGAGACATTGCTGGAATGACGCAAAGTTCAGGGCTGATACTTACAGTGGGGCTTGGGGCTCTCAACAGCTTTCGACATGCAATGCCAACTGCAAAATCCTCTCTACTCCGTAAAGACATACACAAGTGCAAGTGTGGCAAAACTACACGTTCCCAACTGTTGAAGTCCAGTACAGTCCCAAGAGTCCAAAACTGAATCCAAAGGAGTCCAGTGTTCGTCATGTTAGGGTTTTGTAAAGGCCATGCTGCTGTGATTTCATCTTCCGTTCCTTCCTCACTCTCAGCTGCTTCTTCGGCATTCTGGTTTGCAGTCATTTGAATGTCAGTTGACTTTCCAGCTTCCACAAACGCACGTTGCCTCACAAGGTTGAGGTATTGCCCTGAACCCATGGGATTGAAAGCTACCAAATTAGCTCTTTCCTGAGTTCCCATGGAGATCAAGTGATTTGGTTCAACTCCAAACGGGGAAAACGTAAGAATCCACCCAGTTCCACTAATGAATAATGAAGTCCAACTATGTAGTCATGACTCATCGACGCTACATTGCTTGCCTTTGTAAGGCGTCCATCCATCATCATGAACTGGTTGTGGAGTCCATTGATCCTTGAAGCTTGTTGGGCAATATAGTAGTTATCCTCATCTCCAACCTGGTTCCAGCAGTGGTACAAATCCCATTCCGCCTTTTCCAGTCTCTCTCCGTACGTATTCAAGCTGTCCTGTATTTTCCTCCATGCAAACCATGCCATGTATGCAAAAAAAACAAAAACACCAGCAAAGTGAAAATCACAATCCACATTCCAAAATGCTCATAACGCTCGACCGCCTCGATGCTTGTGCTGGGACATTGCAAGTCATTTGTCTCAGCACCTTCTGCAACCACCGGCCCAAGGCCCTGCACTGTCATGAGTAATGTGCTTCGTTTCAAAGTGTTTTGCCAGCTTGCTGACTCTTCTCTCCTCTCTCTTC